ATTCTAATGTCTTGAAATGTGAAATTTAGAACATATGTGAAAGTAGAAAAAGGAGGAGGCTTGGAAAGGTGATCATCAGCAATTCAGTTAATGTGAATTTCAACTCAAATCTCTAATAATCATTACTTTCATAAGTCCTTTTGTTTAAAAAACACTGGCAAGGGTATTGTTGAGTTTAATAAATTATGACATGATGTTCAATCCTCAGGCGAATCTGTTACTTGAACTAAATTTTAATTTTTATATAATTAATTGTTTCAATCCTAGCTTCTTAATTAACTTTTACTTTAATTTGGAATGTCTTTTGAGTGGACTTAATTGAGCTGCTTTTCAGCAGAAATTTATATTCATGTTCAGTTGAACTGTGGAAAATTAAGAGTAGTTGAAAACCTACGGTCTCATGATATTTTTGAATAATTTTATTGAAACAAATCTCATTAAAGACCTCTAAAGTGAAAGTTTACACAGTATTAGGAAAGGATTTACATCCATTTGATTTGTTGAATCTTCACTGGACTAACCCTAATTCTCCTTCTGCTGCAAATTATAAAATACTGCAACAAGGACCCTCTTTCTTATACTTAGGGGACTTAGCCCGGGATGGGCTTTGCTTTCCCCAGTATATCAGTAGAAACCAAGCCACGAGGGAAAGTTCAGCACAATGAAATCCTGCAGTAATGCCGAGGCAGGCACTCTCTCTTGGGGCTGTTGTTGGAGCAGCTGTAATTTGGAAAGTCAGAAGCTCAAGAGAGAAACTAATTCACCCATGACATGCCTGCTGCTGCCCGCCCTGACTAGGGCCCATGGAGCTGAGACAGCAGCCACTGGTAACTGCCTAGAGCACTGGGGGCAGAGGCCTCTACGCGTGGGCCAAGTGTTTCAGTTTTTTTTAAACTAAAATCTCAGCACTCAGGTTTATTTGCAGCGGTGGATAAACAGGCTCGGGGTTGCAGTTTGGGCACCCATCTCTTGCAGGCTTGCGTCACTGACCAGGCTCTCAGGAGGCCCTCCTTGTCAGGAAGCAGAAAAGAAAGCCAACAACAACCAAGAAAACCAGAACTGACATCAAGAGCATCAACGTGCCCCGCCGCAGAGGACGCTTTTCCCTTTTCCTTTCACTCCTTGTGAAAGCCGAGCAAATTCCGAGAGTCTGAGGAGACCAGGAGGCGACCAAGCTGTGTCCCCTGCATGTGTAAATCAGATTGAGAGCTAGAAGGGCCTTGAGCTGTGTCTGGAGACTCCTCAACTGAAAGAGCAAAGTCAGGTCAAGTAATCATCCCAGGCCATGGGGCTGCTGTGAGTGCCATAAGCAGGAGGCCAAGCCGCAGGTGTGCATTTCTCCCAAGGCCCAGAAGTTGCTCTGCCTGCTTCCTTCGAGGCCCTTCCTGGTTTGCAGACAGCTTCCTTCCTGCTGTCATCTCAGGCGGTGATAGCACCAGCTCTGAGGACATCAGCCCCTGGGCTTCACTGCTGGTCCTACCTCAGCAACCCCCCTTCCTGGGGTTGGACTTCAGCAAAGGCAGGGTAGGGCGCATGCACTCGCAGTCCAGGACGCACAGTTCATCAGGAGCTGTGAGATGCCTCCTGGGATGAGGAGGGGGCTGCACCTGGGCCTTGGGGAATGGGGACTCCTGTCCTTGCCTCCACATGGCACACAGTGGCCGTCTCGGGGCACACAGTGAGCATGGGGAGAATGGTTCCCAGCGTCTCAGCTCTGACACAAAGCCTCCAGCCCAAGCCCAAGTGTCACAGCAGCTGGGCTGCCCCCATGGTAGCAGATGTTTGCGAAGAGAGTGTTGGAGGTACCATCGCTGCCTGGGAGAAGCAGCTGCTGGCTGTTGAGGGTACCCGTGGTTGCCGCACCTCTCTTCCGGCCAGGCTTTCTCGTCTCAGTAGTGTGGGGGCATGACAGACATGGGGTAGAGGCGTAGTTGATTTGGAGTTTATCCAGACCAGGTCACTCTGTAGAGGGGACATTACTGATAATTGGAAAAACACATATGGACAGGACTGTCTGGAAAATAAGGACCTATGGTTACGCTTGCATGGAGAGCTGCGGGCCCCGGCTCTGAGGTGACAGGTTGCCATCTGAGTGCATGGGGAAGCAGCAGTCAGGACTGAGGAGGCCACTCCTCACCACTGTGTGGTCACATCGGCGACAAGGGCATGCCTCCCTCTTGCCTTGTATCACAGTCCCCTTTGACAGGAGGAATGTGGGAAAAGGCACTCAGCCGTCCTACCCGAGTTCTGAAAGTGAACGGGCGCCAGTGTTTGTCCGGTGTCTGCAGAGTCTGAGTGGTCACTGGTGTTTGCCCCAAAATGAGATGTTAATGGTTTTCCTTTGGCTTGGGTCACAAAGGCTAAAATGTGGTCACTCTATATTTATACACTAAAAAGTTCGTGAGGGCCCATTGTTGTTCAGGGTGCAGTTCATTTGCACAGAGAGGAAAAGACAGTCTGTAGGACTCGTATTACACTGGGACTTTGAAACCCCAACAGCAGCTACTGAGCATTTCCTCTGGACTTATCTAGGGCCGTGGGTAGCCATGCCCAGCACCTTCTGTTCTTGCTCAGAGTTTGTGGAATAGCCATGTTTATAAAGACCACCTGCAGAAATCATCTGATTTTATTTTTTTAGGGGCACCATACTGTTACCACTGGGTGTGCCCCAGGATGACAGATTTCTTTTTAAAGTGGCTACTAGCTGAGTATGGTGGTGCACAACTATAATTCTAGTACTCAGGAGGCTGAGACAGGAGGATCACCATGAGTTTGATTTTGGGCTACACAGTGAGTTCAAGCCCAGCCTGCACTACATAGTAAGACCCTGTCTCGAAGACAAACAAGAAAAGGAAGCTGTTTCACCTTGGGCAAATTATTCAGCCTCAGAGTGTTAGTTTCATGATCTAGTTTGAGTAAATAATACCCAGGTTGTGCTGAGATTTAAATGAGGCACTGTTCGAGGCCAAGCATCACAGACTAAGTCCTCTGTAAACGGTGGCCGCTGCTGATCACAAATAACCCACAGACTTCAGGAGGTGTGGATGCTCTTAATCACCTGTGCTGTACTTGGAAGATGTCCCACATCTGTCCTTTAGTGAATAGTGTGCTCAGAAAACAGCTGCTTCTCAGTAATAGGATAAGTGGCAGTCTGAAGTGTGCGTAAAATGTTTCATAGTCTTCCTGTTTATTTACTGAATTTTCTCTGGAATGTGTTTTGCCTACGGATCAGGAAATATAAAACTGCCTACATAGTTGAAAGCTACCCGTGTTTCATTTCGATAGTGAAGTTGTTTTATATTAAGTAAGACTCACAAACACTTGCAGATTAAATAACACATTATTGAATAATCAGTGGACCACAGAAGAAAGCAGAGAAGAAAAAATACAGCTCCTGGAATCAAGTGACAACGGAAGCACAACGTGCCAGATCTGTGAGATACAGTGAAGACGGTTCTAAGAGGGACGTTTGCAGCCAAGAGTGCCCGCATGAAAAGAACAGAGCGTGTCCACATGAACAACCTAATGATGCTCCTCAAGGTCCTAGGAAAAGAAGAGCAATCCAAGTCTTAATTTAATAGAAGGAAAGAAATTATAAAGATCAGAATGGGAATTAATGAAATTGAGACTAAAAAAAATCAATACAAAGGATCAGTGATTCAAAGAGTTGGTACTTTGGAAGGATAGAGAAAATGGATAAGCCCTCAGCCAAGCTAAGCTCAAAAGGAAAGACAAACTTCCATCAGTGAAATTAGAAATGAAAATGGTGAAGTCACAGTCCACACCACTGAAATCCAAGAAACTGCTTCAGAAACTTACATTCTAGCACATCAGATGATGCCAGGACTCTAAAACTCATCAATGAAATGGAAAGTAGGTGCCCCACTCCATTTTGGAAGGGGGCACTGAGCCTCAAGGGCAGACGTGGTGTCACAGGTGTCTGTGAGGCCGGTGGTCGGGGTGAGCGGTGCAGCCCACGCATGCGCTGTGGCGGGCACAGCCGTGTCACTGTTCCTCACTGACAGTGGCACTGGACGCAAACCTGGCTTGGCCTTTTTAGGCAGAGAGGACGTGTCTCTCCATACAGTGGAACGTGGGACGCTCCTTCTGCTCAAGCGTTGCATCCATGTGCTTTCTCTTTATGACCATGGCAACAGCAGAGCTGCTACTTCACGTGCAACATTTCAGAGCCACCGGGCAGACAGATTGGGCGCTGACTGTCCAACGCTTCTGCCCCTTTCTCTGCCTCGCCCGGAGGGCTCGGAGCTGTCCTGGCAACAAAGCACGGCACCAGGCCACCGTGAGGCAGGGAGAGCAGTACAGATAAGTGTCATTGCACGAAATGGGAGAATAATGACAGCTACCCCCACCCTGGGGAAACCAAGAGGGAAAAACTCCAATCCAGTGTTTTTAGATCATATTTTGTTGAAGCAAATCAAGTTAAAAACCCCACCACATCTTGGACACAAGGAGATGGCTTACTGATGGTCTACCGAAAGGGTTTCTCTGCAGCATCTAAAATTTGACTTCAAACAGTATCATACTTACCTCCTCCAGGTAACAAAATTGGTGCTGCGCGATAACTTCGTCCTATGTACGGAACCCTGTTCACCCGGCCCTGCAGAGCATGGCAAATACTGCGCCTTGGTCTGTTTTCTACATTTTTTTAGGATTTTGGGGAACCTGTAGGAAATGAAGTCTTTACCATAAAGCCTTTGCACTGAGCTCAGCTAGCTCTCTTAGAGCAAAAGGGTCAAGGACCAAGTTTGAGATTTTTCATGTCAGCTTAGAGTTAGTGTTTGTGTCTGTTACTACAGAGAATATTCTCATTTTAGCACGAGTGAGTCCTGCATATGCACACTTAAAAATGAGTAGACTTTCCTGTTTAATTCCAAGTATCCACATATGTGCTGTATTCATATATAAGCATACACACTTATGTTTATATGTAAATATGCATACTGCATTTTTACAAGTGAATTTTCTTTTCTCCCAAACAGATAAACAATCAGGTCCTGTATGGAAGAAGCCATCAAAACGCGTCTGCCATCATCAAGATGGCCCCATCCAGAGTGAAGCTGGTTTTCATCAGGTGAGACAGGCAGGGCTGGTTTCCTAATATCTCTGTTGTCATCTGGAGATCTTATTATTGGTTCAGAAGTATTTCAGTTTTGGTTTGTGTGGTGGATTGATAACTGGTGGTCAACTTATAACACCCAGCTGAACTGAGTGAGCGTGGTGCTGGGTGTGGGAGGCTCACTGGAGGATTATTGCCAGCAGCATAAGAGGCAGAACTGGAAAAGAAGAAATGAGGCTGTTGGGAGCTGAGAGAAGCTGTAGGAGCTGTTGATTCTCTTGGAGGAGCTTGTCAAGCTGGCTTTCCTGATGAACTTGGCTGTTCCCATTGTCCAAGGAGCTTGGGATCTTGTCACTGAGAATGGCTTTGGTTCACTTTGGGGGAGCTCTGGTCCTCATTTTGAGCATCTCTTCCTGGCTCTGGAGGGGAAGATGGTGCACTGTTCAATGTCCTGTATTAAATTGTTCCCCCTTGCAGAACCCCAGACTACAATAGTAGGTCTAACAAAATCATTGTCTGTTCCAAAAATACATTTTCCTTTCCTGATTACCACTTGAAGAAAATGTAGATCCTTTTGATTATGGTTTTTTCTGTTGTATATTTTGTGTTTCGCGTGGTAGCTGAGGTCAGTATCTACATTTCAGTTATCAGCAGCTCTCCCTGGCTGTTATCTGTGCATAAATATAATAGACCAACCCCATTGCTCTGCTCGGGACTCTTGCTGGCCAGGACTGTCTTCCTCAAAGAATAGGCAGGAAAACAGAGCCAGAAAAGTTAGAGGAGCTCCTTGCTAGCATGCTGGTCAGGGTGGGGAGGGAGCTCTTCTGGGTTCTGGCTCCACCCTGCCCCTCCTGCTCAGGGGCTGAGCCCTGGGGCACCCAGGCCTGGCCAGAGTTGGAAATCTGTGCCCTGGTGTAGCCAGAGGAACAGGATAGTTCTCTGTTGACTGAAATGACAGACAAATCTGGATTATTGTTAGGAGATGGAAGAGTCCCATTTGTTACATGTTGCTGGGCTTCTTTTCCCTCTAAGCCTGTTAGCATCTGTAGAATGGGGAGAGTAAAGAACCTATCTCATTCATTGTGATTCTAAAAATTTTTAAATGATCAGCACAGTATTCAACATGGAGCAGGGCTGGAGAACGTTCGGTGTAGATGTGATGGAGACTATTCCTCCCCTTCTTATTCATCACTGTCAGAGCAGCCTGGTCATCCCCACGGACAGCGGATCGGGCAGCGCTACCTGGCCCAGCACTAATGTGGTTGAATTTTCCTCCTCGAATCTTTTTTCCACCTCACCTGCTGTTGCTGACTGTCTCCCAAAGCATTTCTACGTGCCGCCCTTTTTCTTTCTACCTAGTGCCTCTTCCTGCCTTTCTAGTTTTTTACTCACATTTCCAAAGGAGGAAACTTTCTTCCTTCTTGTCCATTACCCTAGGGGCAGGACCAAAATCAGTACACGGAAATCAGCAGTGTTCCTGTAATGGACACACTGAGCAAGAAATCAGGAAAACAGTCTCATTCACAATAGCCGCAAACCAAAATTAAATACCTAGGACTCAGCCTGACCAAGGAGGCGAAGGCCTTAATGATGGAAACTAGAATTCTGAAGAAAGAGACAAGCAGGCATGAGGTGGAAGATCATCCCCTGTTCCTGGATGGGCAGAATCAGTACCATTAAAATGGCCATATTGCCAACACTGATCTACAGATTTAACACACTTCTTATTAAAACACTGTCTTAGTTACTTGCTTGTGGCTGGGACAGAATACCCAACACCCAAAGTTAAAGAGGAAAGGTTGATTTAGTTCACAGTTTGTAGAAGTTTCAGTTTACAGCTGGCTCCAAGGCAGCGTGGTGTGGCAGAGGGGCATCACAGAGGAGAAATAGCTCATGGCAGCCAGAGGGCAGCAACACCACAAAGCGAAGAAGCAAGTCCAAGGGACCTTAGCCGCTTCCTTCTGCCCCTTTCATATATACCGGGCTTAGGGCAGGTGCCAAAGCAATTGATGGACTGGTTTAGTAATCACACATCCTTAATCCCAGCATCACATACCCTAGAGCCAGCCACCTCTGAAAAGCCCCACCTTAACACAAGCCATAACAAATACCAACAACATCCTTCACTGAGCTAGAAAAAAACAACCCTAAAATTGACATGGAACCAGAAGAAACCCAGAAAAGTCAAAACAATCCTGAGCAAAAGAGCAAAGCAGGAGGCACCACAGTTATATGCCAAGCTACAGTGACAAAAACAGCAGGTACTGGCACAAACCAGACATGTGGATCAATCAGTGGAACAGAGAGAGGGAAAAGAATGATCCCCAGCCATCTGACCCTGGACCAAGGGCCCAGAAACATCGGAGGAACGTGAGCCTCAGCCCAGTGTCCCGGGAAAGCTGCTCACCCACATGCAGAAGGTGGGAACTGGAGCTGGGTCTCTCGCCCTGTACTAACATCAAGTCCAAAGAGAGTGAAGTCTCATGGATAATAACAGCAAGGTTGGAATGCTGGAAGACAATACTAAGAATCAACACATGGGATTGCATCAAGTTAAAAAGCTGCACAGCAAAGGAAACAACCAGCGGAGTGAAGAGACAACTACAGAAAGGGAACAGCTCGTCACCTGCTCTCCAGTTAGAGGGCTAATGACTGGAATAGATAAAGAACTCAGCAAACTGACTTCCCTCAAACAATGGTCCGATCCAACAATGGGCAAATGAACAGAGGGACCGCTTCTCAAAAGAAGAAGTGCCAGTGGGCAGTAGGTGTGGGAAAAGGCACTCAGTATCTGCAGCCACCAGGGAAATGAAAGCCAAAACCACTCGGAGTCAGTCAGGTCCCAGTCACAAAAAACAGCAAATGCTGGCAGGGCAGGGTGGTGGCTGGAATGCACACCAGCGTAATTACCGTGGAAATCCATACGGAGAGTCCTCAAAAGCTAAAACAGGGAATTCCGTATGACCCGGCCGTGGCCCTGTGAGTATGTCCCCAAAGGGCTTAGGACAGCGATCCACACACCCCCATTTACAGCGGCCGCTCTCTGGAGGCAGCCTCAATGTCCTCAGCAGACGGACAGGTCCAGAAATGGTGGCTCAAAGGATGCAGCACTGTGCACCCTGAGGATGAAATCGCAAGGCTGTAATTTAAGTGAAGCCAGACATAGGAGGTTAAATATCTCAGTTTCCCTTATGCAAGAAACCTGAAACTCATAAGTAACAGTAACAAAGGACAAGTGGTGGGAGACAAAGAGGCGGACTTGCTGGAGGTGGACAGGGCTGGGGGAGAAGGGAAGGTGAGGTGTCCTCCAAGTGGATGTAGCTGTCTATTGCAGAATGCACCAATAAACGCAGTAATTGAAATCTGAAGCGCTCTGGCCCGTGCCGGCTTACGCCTGGGTGTTCGCTGCTGGGCTTCCAGTTCACACCTGATGGCCTGTGCGTGTTGACTGCTGTCAAGTATTTCTCTCTCTCAGCTAACTGTCTACTTCATTACTCATCTCAGGACCTCTTACAACCTCTGCCTTGGGTATTACCATTCTTGGACTAGTGTAAAAACCTTGATCTTGCCTATTGGGGGACCAAATCCTGGAACAATTAAAAATTGCTTTGTCTGGGAGGTAAGGCATGAAGATCCCAAACTTGAGCTTGGGTGACTTGTTAATTTAGTGAGACCCTGTCAGAAATTAAAAAGCAGTCTTTAAAGGGGCTGGGGCTATGGCTTAGTGTGGCATTCTGGGGTGCAATCTCTAGAACCACCAAAAAAAAAAGCACTGCCAAGTTTGAGGAAGCAACAGTTCAGTCCTCTCAGAGCCTTGGTTGTGGTCACACATGCAGACTCTGCACAAGCACAAGTCTGTGTGTCACTTGTACCTGTAATTTCTTCACAGTTCTGCTAGCAAAATATCTTCCATTAGTTGAAATTACTCATTCCTACCTGTTCGTTATTCAGAAATTCTTGGTTTTTGTACCGTGGCAGCTCTTTTCCAAATTCATTGGCAATTTAAAAATGGGATTGGCCACAGGCCTTGGAATATGATGAACAGTAATCTCAGAAAGCTGCTAAAACACATTGCAGGCAGAAGTTTAATAACTGAGGCCGTCAGTCTGTGGTGACTCATTCATGTGGTTGTGTTCTTGTCGTACTTCGGTGCCTATGTCCACCCCTGTAGGCATTGATCTGTAATTTGTGGGGGTCAGAGGGTCATTAGTGCAAACTAGCGAGTAGCTGATAGGTGCATAATCTCCTTCCTCCTTTTCTTTTCACATTGTTAGACTTTGGACAGTCCTGTAAATCGTCCTCCACACATACAGAATTGCATGCAGTACATCATCAGCCCTGCATCATCAGGGTTATATCACAGCCTGGGCTCTTGTCAGGGGCTAAACACTGGGTTCCGAGGTATAACTGGGCACCAGCCCCTCCACAAGGGCAGAGCCATCTGAGTGCAAGGAGGGTTCTGTTCCCACGGTGGAGAAGGACTCGCCAAATTGGACAGTGCAGAGAAGCAAAGAGAGTAATGGTGATGCCTTTGGCTCCTGCCATACCTTCTTCACTGTGGAAAATTAAGCGTCATGTGTAACAGCTCACTCTGCATTACTTAATTACGTGTGGAAAATGTGCACCATGTAAAAACTCCCAGGGCAAAGGGAACTAAATGAAACTGAGACCTGGGAGAGATTTAGTGCTGGCTGCCAGGCCCTGTGGAGGAGAACTGAGCTGGCCTGGAACCCAGCTTATGGTATTGATGGCAAATACATCCTGTTTCTGTAATTAAAAATATAAGATGGGCTGTTGTCCTCAGCTACATCGCTCAAAATGATGCTGACTTGAAATTCACGTGGCTGTGAGAGTCACCTCGCTCGCGTGCTGTGTTTAAATCCCTTCTCTCTTCCTGACTCAGCAGGTCTGGCTCTGATGAATAGGAGAGGAATAGACTGTGTGCTTGGCCAGGGCTTCGCAGCATTGGTCTTCTACTCTCTAGCTGAGACCGGCGCCTGCTGTGCTGGCGCCAC